TGTTGTTGTAATGTCTGTTATCATGAAATATGCTACAAATGACTTTTTACCAGAAAAATAAATTGAAACTAATGGTCATGGTTGTGTGTCTACAGAGCTCCAGGATCAATTGTTTTGTATGTTTCCTCATGTGGGGGTCCCTCAGCAGAGAAAACCTTTCAGACATTTGATCCTATCACCTCCTGGAGACCACTGAGATGGAAAGTAAAGACACCATACAGACAACTCGTTACGGCACAGAGTCAAATACGGAACAAATATGAGGTTTTCTTTCACATAAGTTGCATAAAGCACCATTAACAAAGCTTCTACTGAAACAAAACAATATTGAAATGACGAATGGTACATTAATGAGTCAACCTGTGAATCCCACCGCTGTCAGACTGCACAATAAGTCACTTTAAGTCACTTGCATTAGGACTGAAAAACCTGCACTACTAATGACACTGTTTCTTGATTGCCACTTTTTATTGTACATAATATATCCTGCATTTAACATGTTTGCACATTTCTGTCTTTTGCACAATCTTTAGTGTTTCTATCCATGCCAGATGTGTCATGTACATTTCTCCAGTGTGAGATCAATAAAGTCTATCTCATCTTATCTTATCTTAAATCTAGGAAACTTTAGACTGAGAAGGGTTTGGATGGGGACAGTCCTTCTTAGTAAAAAATACATACATGCATATTACAAGTTCGTACCCATAGTTTTTATATATATACAAAAATACATATGTAATTTGTTTTCTGTTGAGTGGCTCTAATTCAATTCTGTTTTCCCGTGTTTCAACATTCACTGGTCTATTTTAAATTAGTTGTTACACAGTGTCCCACTCTTTTATCGCTGAAGGTCATCCACTTTTAATCAATTTCTGGACTTTGAACACAATCCCTGGCTGAAGTTTCAAACAAATAAAATGCCAGAGACTTTTTGGATGGCGTTTGCGTTGCCAGATGTGCTTTTCGTGTGTCCCCTGGTCCCTGTTGGTATTTAGTGATGGCGCGGGCTGTGAGCTCCGGTTCCCTGTGTGCGAGTGTAAATAAGCCAGGCCTCCTCCGGGAGAGTGTCCATAAAACAGTGTGGTTAGCAGGGCTTCGGCTGCCAGGGGCTACAGCTACAGCACACGGCAAAGTGGCAATATCCTGCGTTTCTGTTTATCTGCCGCATAAGACACTGCAGCGACAATTAACTATAAAAGTGTATGGAGCAACATTTAAAGAGCTTTGTTGATGGAGGCGGGAGATTTGGAGTCGTTTTGGCGTCAGTGGGCTGTAACTTTTTTGTGACGAACCGTTCTTGGGACTGAAACAGGTTTTGGAAGATTGTGACTGTTTTTAATGCTGCAGCTCCAGTTTGAGTCGAGCTATCAAGAGTAAGTGTAAAATGGAAGCATCTGATCAAATTGAACAGATTATTTTTCCATTTGTAACTTTATTGTTTTGTTTATAATGGTCACTTGTTTGTCTCTGGGGTTACGTTCATACAGTAACGCCGCTATATGTTTTAAGGCTGTAAAATTCGTCACCAATCACTTTATACACTTTAAACAACTGTTGAAGTGCGATTGCAGAGATATCAAACCTGGTCATTATAGGTCTGAGTGCTGCTGCAGCTGTCAAAAGCCGTGCATACACTGTAAAATACACCTGCAGAGGATACAGTGCTGAGGGAAAAGAGCAGGACCAAATGGTACTATGGGGTAGACTGAACAAATCACAGTGAGCACAGTCAACCATAAAAGTTTTCTTCAGACTTTATATAAAGGTAGCTGTCATGTTACAGTAGGAGTTATAGAATAAAGTATATCATGTTGTAAAAATGTGGCACACGAGGAGCAGACTGTGAAGAAAGCTCGTCAAATTGTTGAAACAGCAAGACTTTTTCCTGATTTGAATTGAATGATATCTAATGGAGATTTTAACATTGCGGTTATGTTTAGCGTTTTAACAGAAGGGGAATGTTCAAAGTGCAAATGGAAAATAGTCATTTGAGGGAAAAGTCACATTTATCAATTGACTTCATTTTCACTAATAGAATAACATGTAACATCTCACATGAAATAAGTGCCAAAGAAAATCTAGTGGGTTTAAAACAGATGGAAATTCCAAAAGGACTCAAAGCAGCCCTAAAGACATTATAGTTATCATAAGTTATCATAAGCCCACAACTAATACATACAAAAGGCAAACAATAAATATAGATTACATAAACCTTTTTAAACATATGTATATAATATTTTATTGGAAAAATATAATCATTTAAAAACAAATACTTTCTGAATCACCATCTGGTATATTATCAGTTTATGAAAATAAATTAGCTTGTTTGATGAAGTCACCTTTTATACCCTCTCCTTCTTTGATTCTGTTGTGATGGTGGTTTCCATAGCAGCCATCTTAGCTCAGCAAAGTTGGTTTTCTCAGCTGTTGTTGATTTTCTTAGAGCTTTGTGTTGATTGGTTCCAAGTCCGGGTCAAATATATTTCCAGACTACAAAGAAGCAATGATTTTATACCTACAATTTCACATACATTTTATTTTTGTGTTCACCAAATTAATAAAACAACAAATGGATCCAGAAGACAAAATAGGGAAAAAAGGGGCAATGACATCATCAATCTTTAACCTTCAAGAACCTTCAAGATACGTAATCAAAGGATGCCAGCAAGTTTGAAGAAAACATTTTTAATTGCGAGTGATTCATTCATAATCATGGATCATCAACGCTTAAGACACTTCTTCTGTTCACCTCCTAGAAACCTCTTTGGTTCCGTGTTATTTTTTCTTGTGTATCTGTGAAGCACTTTGGTCAGCTGGTGTTGTTCTAAATGTGCTATACAATTAAAGCTGACATTGACTTTTGGATCAAGGTTCAGTCAGGCATGTAGTTTCAGTTATCGCCTGTACAAACGGTGGTGGTCGGCAGGGCTGATGGCACACACTGGTTGCCTCGCTTCTGTCAGTTTGCCCCAGGGCAGCTGTGGCTAGAGTAGTAGTTTATCACCACTGTGTATGTAATGATTGCATACTGACATGTGAAGTGTCTTTGAGTGTCCAGAAAAGCGTTATATAAAACCGCTGAATTATTACTATAATTACAAATACATACAAAACAATGTAACTAACGACACGCTTGACTCTCATGCATTGAAAAATCCATTGAGTTTGTTTCACCTGCCGGACTCCCAGATGATTCAAAAAGGCATCGACCCTAAATAGTGTAAACCAGGGGTGTCAAACTTATTTTGGTTGAGGGCCGAATAAAAAATGAAAGGGCTGGTCAGGGGCCGAAAGAATAAGTGGGTTTCATTTATTTTACTTTTTTACAATATGAAGGTATCTAAATAAATGACTTGTTTCACATTAGTTAGATTGGATATTCTTTTCTGATTAGAATTAGTTCAGTTCCTGTGGACTGAACCAAAACTGGACCAAATATTGAAGATATATAGGAAGATCTTCTACTTCCGGGTGGACCATGAAGACTATTGGTCCTCCCAATTGTCAATCATTCTGGTAATTTGTGCTCTTCAAATAAGACCTGACAGTTTTGTTCAAAAAGTGGAGATGGCGGTTCTTTCCTAAGAAAATTGGGAAATCCTCCTTCTTATCTTTAAAAAGAAATGTGATTGAAGACTTGTAAAAACATAACATAACAATACTAACTTCAAATTACATGTTGGCTTAACATTTCTTATGGAATTAAACTTTATGGTTGTTTTCTTGAGAAAATTATTAATGGATAACATTCCATTATTGCCATCACCATCAAAGCTGCTATTTAATATAATATTTTAAAATCATCTCAGGGGCCACTGGAAATGAAATCAGTCCACATGTCATGATCACAGAAGAGCTCAGACTGGTAAAAAAAAAAAAAGTGCTGTTTTAAGTAATGGCAGCTGCTGTCTTGGACTTGACCCAGCACAAGGCTTCAACACGCTTGAATTCACTTCCAAATATGCCTTTACTCTCGGGGTCGCAGCCTCTCGTGATGTGGCCCGCATGACTAATTCCATTAAACGGGAAACACGCATCTCACGTTTCGTCTTGGATTTGCATAATTTTGTTTGGCAACTTGGAAAAGGGCCATTACCAGCTATAAAAGGGGATATTGTTAAGGATAGCGAGGGATGGATTGATTGTTTATTACAACATCTTATGCAGCGTTCAGATTCACTCATTCAAATGTGTGTGGTTGAGATGCGATCAAAACAGCTTCAAAGAAAACAGCCTCGCACTGCCTCTTCTTAATCTGTAATCTGTGACAGCCACGTTCATCGGATCAATACTCTTTTACTTTTTTATTCCAAAGACAAGATTGATTGCCAGGACTTGCCACATGCTCCTACTCCACCTTCCTTCCCTCATTATAATTTCAATTAGGAGATCTCCTGGGACGCAACGGGAAGAGAGGTGTTAGAACGCATCTGGTGACCCTATGTAAATCACATCTAACAGCGGATGTTAGGAGCACAACCCCTGACACAGTCTCTTCCGCAACAAGTGAAGGAAGCGCCCAAACAAGTGGATTAGAGAGAGAGCAGCGGCGGGGGCAACGGGGACGTCCTCCACTCGCCAGTCAAGAGGAAATAATGACAATGCTACCTTCTCATGAATTATTAGGCAGAGTGTGGCTATTTCGGTCCATCTAAAAAAGAATAATTTCACGGTCAGTCCGAGGCAGCGTGGCAGTGTTTGTGACTGCTGTATCACGGCTGATAACGGAGCATTGAGCTGATCAGGAGCGAGACAAGCGTCAGAGCAGCACACAGCACTGGAGCCAGAGCAGCAGTATCAGTCAGAGCGCAGGCAGCAGCGGAGCCACAACAAACTCTCCTCTCTTCTCTCTCTCTCCACACTCCCCACACTCCTCGCTCTCTTTTCTCCGCTCTTGTAGAGTTGTTGCTGCTCCGGGCACGCCACTGACACGAGGAAGTGATCCAGAGCTGATAGCTGCCTTAAAACTAAAAACCCCAATCGCAGACCTGGCTGCCCCCATGCCTATCGAATTTGTTTGCAAAATCAAATTTGCAGAGGAGGATGAGAAGCAGAAAAGCCAGCAGGATGGCGACAAAGAGAGCCTGATCGAGGAGAGCTGCTCTCCTCCGGCCAAAGATCTGGCCAGGTTTGCCAACTCCTGCTCCCTCCATGGGATTAACCACATCTTTGTGTCGGGACGCCTGGGCATCCGGCAGACTCTGTGGGCGCTTGCTTTCCTCACCTCTCTGGCTCTCTTCCTGTACCAGGCGGCAAAATGTGCCATCTCGTACCTGGAGCACCCACATGTGACCTCCCTGAACGAAGAGGCGTCTCCGGAGATGGTGTTTCCTGCTGTAACTATCTGTAACATCAACCGCTTTCGATTCTCAGCGCTCACAGATGCCGACATCTACCACCTGGCTAACCTCACCGGGCTGCCCCCAAAGAACCGGGACGGCCACAAACCTTCTGACCTGCAGTATCCCGCGCCTGACATGCAGGACATCTTCAACCGCACCGGACACCAGCTGGAGGAGATGCTCATGAGCTGCAACTTCAGCGGACAGAACTGCTCCGTGGACGACTTCACTGTGGTGAGTTGAAGTTTGAGCAAGTTTACTTCACTCACGCACTTGTCTGTTGAAGTTACATTCAATGCACAGAGTTCAAGGCATGTTCTTTGGAAAGTTTCAAAGCTCATTTGGTTCAATAGGTCGATGAAAGGAGATCGCTTTGACAGTCTGAGGTATTGAAATTCTCTTTGTTTTGACACTCTGGGGGCTAAGAGGTTCCCATGATGTCTTTGTGCATGCAACATTTATGCGCTTGTCCCTGAGTTCCGTGTGTCTGTACTGAGCCGCAACAGTTTCCCTCCAGCTGAACCTTTTTCTGTCAAGGAACAAAACCCTCACATTGATGAGAGAGCTGTCTGCCCTGTGTACTCTATGTGTGTATGTGTGTGCGTATTGGCTTGTATACTTTTCTAAGACGCTTTAATGCAACTCCAGGAGCTAAGAGCGCATGGAAACAAAATTGTCATCAGAAATAGCACAGTGAGTGTCTTCTATTCTTTGCGCCGGCTGCCAGGTCTGCTGTGCTCCCTCTCTCCTGACATTGGCTGCTTCTTGCTGAGAGCCACCTTTCAGCAGAGCGGAGTAATGCTTCTCCGACGTTGTATTTCAATCTCGCTGCTGTTAAGATTAAATATTTACACACAGACGTACATGATTTTTGCATTAGCCAGATTGACTAAAATGGAATGAAAAAAAAGGAGGGAGAGTGAGGAGGAAAGATGTGTGTATGTGTTTGTGTTTTCAAAAATAGTGCAGGGGAAGAAGGACTTTGTTCTTGTGTTCCGGGCACTATTTATTAACAGCCCTGTCCTTGTCAGAGATGGATTTCCCTATCGCTCTTGCAGGAAAAGGAATATGCAATTGCTTTACTGATGATAAAGTGCAGGTGTCAAGTCTTAATAGTGTGTGTTGAACATTGATACGCTCACCTACGAGATGCAGCGTTATCGCACCGGGGCACTACATCCACTTTGATGTGCCAAATTAGACCAAAGGAATGATGACACGCTTTGCCTGTAATAGCAGCAAGATAGATGATTACTTTGGCTTTGTCTCTTGTTACCGACATTCATTTAAAGGTGCACTCTTTGACTTAAATGCTGAAGGTTAGGCTACCTTTTTTGCCTCCATATTGTTGCTTGGTTTGTATTAGTCTTCATTACAGATTTACGCTTCTATGTTCTTGAAGTTCATGAAGTGAGCCGATGCTGCCAACAGTAGCTCAGTGACCTTGGCTTCACATATTTTTTTAATTAAATTGTCTGCACACCTCTGTGCAAACATATAAGTATTTAGTACTTCTATTATTTACAGAAGTATGTTGGCTTACTGTAGTTAATAGCACTCTGGTTTCACAGCAAGAAGGTCCTGGGTTTGAATCTCAATCGGAATGGGGCCTTTCTGAGTGGAGTTTGCATGTTCTCCCTGTGCCTGCTCCGTTTTCCTCTGGGTGCTCAAGGTTTCTGATTCCTTTAAAAACATGCACAATAGGTAAGTCCTACAGCTCCTGTTGTTCTGACCAACTATCAACATCTAGAGGTGGGTCCCGGGCGCTGCGTCTAATGCTCCTGACATAAGCTAGTTACAGTAGTGGCATTTGCAGGACGGGTCAAATGCAGAGGACCAAGCTCTCTACGAGGATAAAAAAAGTCCTCACACACACATGCACATGTGGCAGGTGTCGTAATTCTTTATTATCTTTATAATTAGGCGCTAACTTAGCAGAGTTTCTGTACATGGGCTCATGACTTCAGGACACTTTCTATACAGTGATCGGGCTTCTGCCTGCACTTCTTTCAGCACACATTATTACTATATTTATGTATGTTCTTGTTTTAAGTGATGTGTATCTTCTAAAGTTTCAGGGCGCCACTTTTTACCTGTTTCACGTTTCCTTTCTGAAAAATCTCTCTTGCCTCATGGCTGAAATGAGTTTTAAATGACTAGTCTAATAATAGCTCTGAAGCAGCATAAAATAATTACCACCACCATGTTAATATTAAGATTTAGAAATGACTGTCTGCTGACTGATTGTCTATGTTATGTGTCAAATAAAGTCAAGAGTGTTTATCTTTTCCTTCATGGTCTGTATAAATACTACAGTAACATCTATGATGGATTGAATCAGATGTATCCTTACATAAATCTCCAACACAGATTTTCACTTTTTTTTTGGCATTGCCCGGATTCTTGATAAAGTTAATTAAATTCCTTTGCTCTCCTATCGAGACATAAAAGTAGTTATGACAGCAGAATGGGTGAATTTTCTTCTCAGTTGTTTTGTCAAGCGTTTGAAAATGTCACGCACCTCGGGGAGTCAGAAACTTTGATGAAATTGCAGCAAAAAGTTCAGTCTGTATCCACGATCGATCCTGTCATTTTGAGCCCATTAATTAGCATTGTTTTGTCTGCCCTGTGTCAGCAAGCAGCAGAAAGCAGTTATTTTTGGACAGTGGGCCACTTCAGAGTAGGACCCCATTGAAAGATTCCCACAGACATTTATCTTGGGCTTGTCACTTAGATTTGTTACAGGCTACTAGCTACCTTCTACGCATGACCACTTGCCCCGTAGTCTTTCTTGAGAGCACCATGGACAGGGATGACAGCTAAATGTAGAATTATGTTGGACTATTTGTTGTTGTCATGACAATTCGCCGAAAAGATCATATTAAAACTATTATTACTATTCTATGTTGTGCAGGTGAAACCATATTGGGGAACTAGACAACAGAGAAATTAGACAAATTTGACACCAAATGGCCCATTTACTTCTTTAATTAAACTCTCATTATGAAACTACTGTATATTAGAGACAATTACATACAAACTGAGATATACACGCCTTTATTCATATTATTGATCATTGGCTCACAGCTTGTGAAAACCCCAAATATAACATCCCAGAAAAGTAAATTATTTTCAAAATGGACTCACCCTAATCATGCATCATAACAAACAGAAGCTTTGTATACGTCACTTTGCATGTAATAGGGCTATATCATAAATTGATATCATTCATAGCAGAACTATTTTCTAAGTTCCTGAGTTTCACTTGCGAAACAAAGTCCGACTAATCACATGTCTTCTTTTGTCAGCGCACTACCTCCACACAAAACACTTGAATTAGATCCTATCTGCTTCTAAATCTCTACAACCATCTCTCCCCCGTAATACCACTACTAAGTATTACTCATTGGCCTCCCATTTCATTTCCATTCACAGATCTCAGAAGACGATATTACAGAAAAAGCCCTTGTGTAAATGATTGTTTGAGCATACAGCGGCACGTAGCAGAGAAATTTGTTTTTCCTCTTCCCCTACATAATTATTTGACTTCGGTAATAAGGCCATTCCTTATAATTAAAGATTACATTATTGACTCACAGAAGATAAAGCTGATTCAACAAGCCGTGAATAAATAGATTAATATATTTCTGGCCGTCTAAGGCTGAATAATTGTTGCTCTATTGTGCTGGGAGATGAGCAGTGAGAACCATTGCCATTTCTTGTACACGCAGACATTGAATAGGCTCTTAGCTGTATTTGTTGCTTGCATTATCAGATTTGGCTCAGAGCAAGGACAAAATCCCTTCTGCATATATTCATGATGAAAAGCAAAAAGAATAAACGTGCTGCGGTCTTTAAAAGCACAGGTTGATATTGCACTACTCCCCATTCGCCTGGTTGTGTTGCTGATCGCTCATAGCATGATGTAAACCTGCACAACACATCAATTTTCATTTTTAAATTGCAATAATGGAATCAGCAATATTTGTGTGTATGAATATTTCAATTCTTGAATAAACGCTCTGAAATTTCTCCACTGTGAGACTAATAAAGGTTTATCTTATCACACGCTCTCATACTGAGGCTGGAAAGAACAAAAACACAACATGACAGGAGAAGACAGAAGGCAAGGGGTGGGATTAAATAAGTTTTCTTCTTCCCACTCCTTTTCGAGTATCTGCAAGTGTTTTTTTTGTGTATACAGTATAATATTTATAATTTTGTATTATGTAAATGTAACTCAGGGTTATTTATGCACAATTTTTATATTCTACTTTTCTTTCTTTCACACTTATTTGCTCGAAATAAACAAACATGATGATCAAGGCAAACATTTTAGTTCCAACAAGCATATGTATTTATGTATTTGGGGAATTAAAACATTGCAGAATCCCTCTTGCATATTGCACTAACCTACAATGTTGTGCAGCCCTAGCCCTCTTCACACTTGTAGAGTGTCTCAACCCAAACTTTGGCTAAAAACTGTGGTTATTTGGGTGAGTAATTGTAAGATAGCAATATTATTCTCTTTTTATTCAACAATATAGTGAAAAGACCCCCAGACCACCAGACTCACGTGTCCGTGCTGCCTCTTCTGTATGTTCTGTTCATTAACGTACATTGTCTCTACCAAATTAACAAATAAATCAATCATTTAAGGACAAAATAGTGGTGATAGTGGTTGGTATAGAAGTCTCATTGTGTCCTTATGTGCTCTGAAGGTAAAGGTGCACTTTATTGATCCCCGTAGGGCAATTCGTCCTCTGCATTTGACCCACAGGGGAACATGCAAACTCCACTCAGAAAGACCCTGTTCCGACCGGGATTCGAACCCAGGACCTTCTTTCTGAATGCAATCCACTCAGCCACCGTGCCTCTTGTGGGATATAATTTGATAGATTCCATTTTTGAACAGAAATACATTAATATTCATACCTATAAAATGCAAACCCATTTTATTTGCTTTGCTGAAGTTCATTTAATTAATAGAGAGATCATAGAATTATTGTTCGAGTGTCAATCCTGGACAAAAACACTGTACTATTAAAGCTGAGGTGTGTAACATAAAAATATTTATATACATGCTGTGCTGCCTATATCAAATTAGGAAATCATTCTTCTTTTGCAGACTCGTAAGGAATTCCCTGTGAGTCACTTTTGGATGGTTTGGGCTGAGAGCTGATAGGCAGAGAAAGGGGGGTCCTCTTTTTTCACCTTTCTGTCTTAAAAAACGTATCTAAACA